AAATTGAAAATTTCAGTTGTCTATAAATATCTCAAAAAAAGTCAAAACATTTTCAAAAATTAAATCATGTAAACATCATGCCAATCTAAATAACTTGTGAAAATTTCAAGTATCTACGACTTATACTTTTTGAATAATAACAAATATTTAAATTCGTTTGAGGATAAATCGTTATCATTACGCTATTTTGAAAAAATTTAAAATTCAAACGCACTTAAAATTTTTCCTATAATGAAGCTTCGAGTTTTATCTATAGCTAYTTGAAGGAAAACTTAGTGTTGTATTTTTAATTCTTAGTTATAAACACAAACAATTTTATGACTTTTCAACTTCAAAATTACATTAAAATATTCGCGTTTTGGACAGATTTCGTAAAAATTTGAACTATAAACACTTATAAAAAAAAATTGTGACTAACGATTTTTAATTTTTTTTAGCTACAATTAGAACAACTCATAAGAAACCATGTTTTAAATTTTCATGTTTTTTTGGTTGTTCAACATTTTTTTACCGACACTTCAAAAAAAAATTCTCAAAAAATTCGAAAATTTCAGTGGTCTATAAAAAACTCAAAAAAGTCGAAAATTTTTGAAAATTAAACTGTATATATATATCACTAACATTAATATTTGGTTAAATTTTCAAGTATTTACAGTGATTAGTTTTTGAATTACAACCATATAAAAATATTTATTTCGTCGAAAACTGGTTTTGCGTAAAAATTCCCGTTTTTCTGTCATTTTTTTTTTTGTTCTTCTCGATTTTTTTGAAAACTGTTGGAAAATGTTTACTTTTGACCTGTATAATACACCAAGGATCTTCAATTTTACATCGGAATCTACCCCAAAGTTTGAAATCGAAGCATTATTTCGACTAGTTATGCTGTACACAGACACAAAAAAAAAAGCGGGTAAGTCGTGGATGTCCCTGTCGCATGGTCGACTGATAGCCGCAGTATTCCGACAGGTTATCCGTAGGTATTTGACTTGCTGTGGGGCTTGTCAAAATACCCGCGGACGGCTGTCCGAAAAAGTGACTGGCGTTCGTATCTACCAGCGTTGTCGAAGCTTCCGGCTGTTCTCCTGTACCGTCCGCCAGTATATTGATTGGCGGTTGTACGGAATAGAATCTGACGTTCGCGGGATCCTGTCCTCTTTCCCGAATATGTCCTTCGAGCCTGATAATTATGTCCGGTTTAGAGCTGGACATGCTTATTCCCCGGGCCGTACACACGCTACGTAGCTCCGCCGTCAACAACTGTTGCAACGATTTACCTGACATTTTGTATTTCTTTTGAATAAAGTTACAAATGCGGACGTTTAACTGTTGCGTAGACGGTAGCATGTGCTTGCTATACGGGACGGATGCTCAGAGGGAGTGTAGTTTAGGACATGAGCGAGAAAGAGAGCAACAGAAAAAAAAAATTTTTTACGTTTTTTTTTTAAGAAGACGTAATTTGCGCGATGTTTTGATTACGCTCACGCAAACACTAATCAGCTGTACAGCTGATTTTGGCGTCGCCGGTACGGTCCAAATATAACGTAATTAGGTCAACGTATTCGGCGAAACCTGTTTGTCTCGGTGACGCGCGGCGGCTGCTCAAATAAAGACGGCGGCGGTCGACAACGGTGGTGTGCGGCGGCGGTGGTTTGCAACAACGACAGCGATACCGGTTTGAGTA